CTATCCACCAAGGTATTCCTTTAGCATCTGCATCATTTCCAGCTGACTGACCTCAATGGTGATGGCTTTTCATCAGAACTTCGGGGTATCCTTCTCGAAACATGTCACTGATGAGCATTATACAGTAATGTACTTAGAAGTTAATGCGGCTAAGGGTCATGAGTTCAATTCTAGATGGGCTGATTCGTGGATGCTTACTGTTGAAGAGTCCTTTACCAGAACGAATCAGCTGTCGAGTAATTCCAGGTCTTTAATGGTTCTTCAGCCCATGATGAATACCATCTTAAAAATAAAACCCCTATTAACCGCAAAAGACATCATACTAAATCGTAAAAGTGTTTCATGCTTTCCTGAATGTCATTTCCGTCAATACAATGCCAGCCAACATCAGCACTTGAACACTGATTTCATGTTTATTTCTATAGACGAAAGTTGCTACAAAATACACGTGTTCCTGATTGTACATTCAGGGGAATGATTAAAGTATACATCTTAGTTACTTTAATCTTTAATGATGCATCCTACAAAACATGCTTCAAAGAATTTACATTCAAATGAAATATTTTATAAGTCATAGATATTCTAAAGTCAGTTTCTTTCTGTCAATATGTGATCTTTCTAGATACAGTTAGTCAATAGTACTATGAAAGAGGTTTTCCTTTAAACAAAGGCCGCTCAGATTCACATCTGGTTTCGGAATAGGATCAAAATACTAACTACTGCACAGTAGTTTTAGATGACATCATTTAAGTGTGCGAATATTTAATTCTTAGGAAAGGAGATCAGGATGAGTCATATAACCTTTGTCTAAAATGAGACTATTCAACAGTTATTTCGCAAGTGATTAGTAACAGATGAGACAACGTCAACTTTAATCTTCAGTTTTGCAGGTGAATAATTGGCTTTTGTCTCACAACATTTTGACTATTTGAGATAGCTGTGATTCAGCATTGAGTGATGATTGAAAATTTGGACCACAGTGGGACTCGAACCAGCGGTAACCGGGTTTCTAGTTCGATGCTCTACTAACTCCCCTACGAGGTCCGACTGCTGACCAGATTTTTATTTCACATCAATCACCATTGGTTTTGCCCGACTACCATGTGAATTTATGACGCCTTACTATCGCCTGATCGTACTGACACTGGCTACCTAGTCAGGACTTTTCATCCCAATCTAAATGTAACTGAATTAGAGGGATGGAGCATCATATTGATTATCATTTGACTATCTGAGATAACTGTGTGTAGTTTGGCAGACTATGATTGCAGGTGATGGGCATATCTTGAAACACAGTTTATTGAACAATAAACAGTGAAGATAATTAATTTCCAGAGAATAGTAAAAAAGAGATCGATGATCTTTAAAACGGGATTTAATTAACTCTAAAATGTTTCGGAGCTACTTTAAAGGCCTCCCAAACAACCAGTGAAATAACTAACCAGGATTTTATCTCGTGAGAAACCATTGGTTTAATCGAAATAAAGAAGTCGAATTGACCATTAGAGTCACTCAAGATTTCGCTTGTATCATCTTGAAATCTTAACACTTATGAACAACACTATATATATATATATATATATATATATATATATATATATATATATATATATATATATATATATATATATATATATATAAGTTGTCGTTTGGGTTCTCAGTGGAACATAGGGCTTCAGTAGCACGTTTCCATTTCACTTCGTTCTCTGTGGTCTTTTGGACCTGCCTCCATGACTGACCAGAAGCTTTCTTTTCTTCCTCACACGGTCTCTTTCAGTATCGAGTGAGTGTAGGCAGCTGTTGATGTATGTCTTTAGTTCATTGGAAATGCTTTTCGTAACGCTCCAAGTCTCTCAACCATGACATAGAAGCACTAACTGACTTGACTGAGATTGGTGTTAAATATCCGGATATTGTTCACGCTTTATTCTTAGTGTAGTATATCTGCACACTGATTGGTTTCAGGTTAATGAAGACCTGTCCTGCTTTTTCGATCATGAGTCTGACGTTCTCATCTGCACCGCCGTCTGTAGTTGAAACTATGCTGCCTAGGTAGAGAGGTAGGTGAAACAGACAACTTCTTCTGGGTTCTTCCCGTTGATGATGATTTGTGCTTGTTGCTGTTATTGTTGGTTGGATATCTTTCTAACCTCTGTCTTCTCTACATTTACCTGAGGGAAGTCCCGTATTTCTTCGCTGCCTCGCAGCGCCTCTTCTGTTAACTTGTTAGTTTTCGCTATAATATATTAGACATAAACCATCATCGTTGGCGAAATCCAAATCTTCTTCTAGGGTGTTTTCATCCGTCAAGCTAGCGTATGCCCATCTCTTCGCTTCTCACGGTTTGCTGTATGATCCGGTCGACCACAATCAGGAAGATCATCGATGATGGTAGCTGGCAGCAACCTTGCCTTACTGTTTACTCCACTTCACCTCAAACCCATCACTGAGCTTTCCGTTGTGAATCACTTCGCATGTAGCATCATATTCCATAGCATCTAGCTGTTAAATGATGTTGATAAAGGTTTGTCACATTACGTAGTGTTGAAGCAGCTGCATGCTAAATTACTTCTCGGTCAACGCTGTCGAAAGCCTTTTCAAAATCGACTAGGTTGGGGTAAAGATGAAGTTGACTGCCATTCTATACTCTGTTCTACGGTGATGCGTAGCGTAGCGTTGCAATTTGGTCGGCATATGATTTATTCTTCCTGAAGCCAGTCAGTCTGTTCTGGTCGCATCTACGTGTTTAGGTAGAATTTATTATTTAAAGATATAAATTTTTGAAATTCTAGTCATCTGTATATAATCATTAGTTATCATTTTGTTGGAGATATTACTGAAAATAGAGAAGCCACCGAAATGATGATTCGTAGAGTTTATGGATTTGAAAGTATCATTTTGACGATCTAAGATAGCAGTGGGTTTTCAGAATCGTAACGATACTGGAGATCATACGGTTTTCAGCTCGGTACTCTACCCGACCGCTGTGGCCTAGATCTTAATTTCACCTTCAATCCTTGGTCAGTATCTATTTGAAAGTAGTTTACATCGACAGATTAATAACAGTTGGAGAATCGTTGAAAACCTGTGAAAATTAGATAAAACTGTTTCATCCTAATTCACGAATACTCAGCAATTTGTAACCACAATCCTATGATGTGCCTCAGCTTGGATTTAGAAGTCATCATCTTCTGAGCCAACAGATCTGGAAGTGAGGCAAATGCCAACTAGTAGCACTGAATGTTGGCTGCACTATATCGGGAAGCCCAGTGGTCCATGGGCTCCTGGTTCAAATCTTGCCACCACTAGAATTTTCATTTCATCCTTAATCCCTACCCAGTAACTAATACAAGTCTGCTAAACCGCAGCTATCTTAAGTAGTCAAACGGATAAACAGTAGACTGTCAGGTTCCAACCTGGTGACTAGATGGTAATGCGCTCACCCCGAGGCATGTTGGTCCTGGTAATGATTCTTTATGGGACCGTGGTCCCGCATCGCTGAGAGCTCCTAAGCTAACAAATCTGTATGCCCAGTATCTTGAGGTTCTGAAGGGTTCTGTGTGTAATGCCAGTCTTTGAGAGACTAACAATATATGCAAACATTTCCTACAAATTTGCATACAAGTTTGTTAGTCTTTTTGACTTTGTATTGTCATCGCATACAACAAGGGATATGTGTTTTAAACTAACTATATACAGTACTTAGGGGGGCTTATGTTTTGAGCCTTATTCAATTAGGTCTTTACCATCAAGAGTATCGAAATTTTATGAAACATATGGATGGTATTTCTACTTCCAAATTTTTAAAGTTTACCATCCAATATTGAAAATTGACCACCTGTGAGAACGTTGATTCATCTGGAGAAACGATTTGCAACTTTATTTCTCGACAAGACATTGGCTGTTTTTGTTCTAAATATCTTCCAGTTGACGCGGCGAAAGAAAATTTTCAGCCATCATGATAGGTAAAACCGACAACTATAGCAGATCAGTATACGAAGTTAGGTGTTAAATGATACGGACTTCCTCTTTTTTCAAACGAGTTTTGTTGGCAAGAATCCCATAAGTTTCTGTCTACAACATGTCGTCAGGTTGCCTTTGGACCGTCTGATTCACGGTTTACTCTTCTAAATTCATGGTAAGTTTAATTCTGACATAGGTGCATTAAAGGGGTAGAAGTACATATATACATCCAACCATTAGAAAAATAAGGACACATAAATAAAATACCCATGTTGCGGTGCTTATCTTCATTATTGTTTCATATTTCAGTCCACTGACGTAAAGCAAAATTCGATTGTTCAACACACCACCGAAAAATCATTGAGATAAATTTGATTTTTGACTTTAGCTACTTATGAGTAGTTAATTGAGTAAGAGTCAAATTGTTTTGCCAATGATTGCAAATCAAATCATTAACTTTTAACCGAGCTAGAACTCAGTTTTTACCAGTTAATGATAAAGTTCTCTCACTAATGATATTTGATCATGCTTAAAGCGTAACTGACTGCTAAATAAAGGCAGCCAAAGGTTACTGACTAGTTTAATAGCTAATTACTGGAAAATTTGATTACCTAACCCTATCAGTTTGTCGATCATTCCCTCTCATATAGAAGAACGATAAAAGCTCTGAAAGCTTCATTTAACAATAATCAATTGTTCTAGGCTAGTTTCTTTAGTAAACGGAATGAATAAACATCGGTATTTCCTGTAAATGACAGCGATATATAATGCCCCGACCGAAGTTGGTAGGTAATGGTCACTGAATCTGACAGGGCATGTCACTTGTAATCTACTTCCTGTCCGACAGATAAAATTCCTGAATCCGCTACCTCCAGAAAATTTTTAGTATAGTAACACAAAGAAAAAAGCCACCTATCTAGCTCCTGTTGCTTTCCAATTCTTTTTTCATTGGTTTCATTGCAGAATTAAAAGTCCCTCTGAAATATATTAAGCATGAATATTAATTACTTTTTTCGTTACTTTCTGTCTGCCTACAGGTTCATCGGCTTCACTAACATGTGCACTAGGAACTGATAGTCAGCTTGGCGGGAAAGAACTCCTCTCATTTGTATTCAGTACAGTTTTGACCTATATGGTGCCGTGTATAATCCTTGTCTTTGTTAATTCAATAATTCTTATCAAGTTAATCAGTATAAAAACACGACGACGTATTTTATGCAAAATTGATAATACAAATGCACAAATAATCAGTTGGAGTAGTAATGGCAATTCAAGTCTAGCTCAGAATGATCAAAATTCATCTGTCACTCCAGTTACGTCTACAATGGCATCTTTACTCAAACGTAGACGACATACCATACTAGAAGATCGTAGAGAACTTGGTCGTGTTGTAGCCTTGCTACTTTTATCATGTTTCTACTTGTGTTTTACATTTCCAGTTAGTATTAGTTTGACAATACGCGCCAGTTTAAATGATAAACATGATAAATGTGTACACATACTTTACGCACATTTATCCCGCCTACTAACATCAATTAAAGACATCAATTATGTATTGAATGGTTATACATATGCATTATTCTTTCAATTTTATCGAACAAAACTGTTGAATTTTTTAACCTGTAACTTTGCTAGTGTTCATCATCATCCTCGTTGTCATCGCCGTCAAGGTGATGGGATTGCTACAATCTCAAAAAGTCATATTCAGCATGAATCAGTTGAGGTGAAAAGTGATTTTGCAAGTAAATGAAAAGTATCGGAATCAAGTTCTATTTGAAGACAGTCTAGATACACATCCAAACATTTTCTACATTCCAAATAAAAACTAATTTTACAATGCAAAAAAATTCCTTTTACGCAACATTGAACATTGAACACGGTTATTTTTATCAGTGACTTCAAAATGAAAGATCAAATTAATTATATTGGTCAAAAGAGAACTGAAAGAAATTATTATTTTTCATTGAAGATTTTTAGGCACAATGACATAATTTATTTCACTATATCTGTATTCAACATTATCAATGAGTTATTCTTCAGTTTCTTTTCCCCATGGTATTACAGACTACATTACAGAAAAGTGATGATGTTTATATTACTACCGACCATTGAACTCTCTTTTTTTCTCCCTTTTCCTACCTCTTGAATTGTGTAATTTTCAAATTTGTTCTCCCGTGTGAATTCATTTGAATATCTAAATGACATTTTCCATTGTTCATATATATTTGAACACCTACATTTTCTTTGATTTGTATCACTTGTCACTTATTGAAAATATTTCATCTATTTTGGACTCACTTACTATATAACTGATTCAAGGTGAAGATTGAGAGTAAAATAAAAATATATGGGTTGCGAAAAGATGCGAAACAGCAACCTCCGGGTTAATGACAAGAATTGATGGAAAAAACTATCGAAATCGATATTATTCTGCTTGAGATACAATTATATATACTCCTTAGCGTTAATTAAGAATTCACACAGTAATTTAAGTATCCAGCACTTAAATAAAACTTCGATAATTTATAAGCAAATGCTCGAGATTCGCGTAAATTCCTCGAGTAAAACTGCCGAATTCGTTCAGAATGCAATACTCTGTACACAAATCAAACTCTTGGTAAATGAAGAAGCAGAACTCAAATAAGTTGGTTTATGGATGTTGATAACACCATCGATGTCACTGTGTTGGTAGTGCCTCAATCAACAACACAAAAAACTGAACTATGATTCACAAGGAAAAGCGAAGACCAGGGATTAGGAGAAAGGTTAATGATTAATAAAGATTGAAAGAGCCGAGAAACATGTGAAGCAAACTACAAGAAACAGAAAAAGGTAGACAAATGACAAGAAAAGCTAGTAAAATGAGAAATAAGCTCTCTGAACACTAATATATTACAAAGAAATGCAAAATGAGGCTGTTAGTCTGGGAAAACAAAATGAAGCGTGGAACGCAACGATACCAGACGTTGGTTTTTACTACCACGTTATTATTTGTCCCCACGTCGCTTCACAAGCACAGCTCCATTCCAGTCTGTTCTCTATAAACTTTTGAACCTGCTTCCACGACAGCCCACAACCTTGCATTTCTTCCTCGCACGCTCTCCTCCATGTCACCCTCACCTCCATGCCCAACTCGTCGTTTCCCATCTGGGTTCCACTCGAGCACCTGGCCTGACACGTGATGTTCCCGAATGGTCTTCCCAGTACATGCCCAATCCAATCCATCTACACCTCCTTCTGCTGCAAATTTGTTGAGTGATAGGTTCGTGGTTGGTTCGTTAACAGACAGACTTGCTTCTCGCTTATTACCATCATTATGGCCATCTGATATGAGCTTCAGTATTGAGCCAGTCAGTGTAGGTGACAGTTGTTGATGAATATGTGTAGTTTGTTGGAAATGCTTTCGTAACGAGCTGCCAAGTCTCTGAATTTTACAGATGGACTGACTTGACACTGGTGTTAAAAATCCTCACATTAGTCACGCTTTATGCTGAGTGCAGAGTATCTCCACACTGATTTCAGATTATTGAAAGCCTCTCTTGCCGTCTTCACGATCCTGGCTTCTTCTGACATCCTCATCTGTGCCTGTGCCACCTGAAGTTGAAACGATGCTGCCTAGGTGGAGAGGTAGGTGAATGAAAGAGGCTACTTCCTGTAAGTTTCTCCAGTTGATGGTGATTGGAACTTGTTGTTGTTGGTGGTGGTGGTGGCTTAGGTTGGATATCATCATCACCTCCTTCTTCTCTATGTTCACCTGAAGTCCCGTCTTCCTTCGCTGCCCTGTCTCTTCTGTCAACTTGTTAGTTTCCGCCTGTAGGTCTTCAAGTTTGTGCCACAATACATTAGACACAAGTCATCGACGAAATCCAAATCTTCTGCGTTCTTTCCCGGGTCCCCAGAATCACCTGCTTCTCATTCCTCACTGTCTGTTGCATGATCCAGTCCACTACAATCAGGAATATCGTGGGTGGTGATAGTAGACAGCCTTGTTTCACTCCTGTCTTCACTTCGAAAGCATCACTGAGCTTCCCATTGTGAATTTCTCTGCATGTGGAGTCTTCATATAGTTGTTGAATGAGATTGATAAGGGTTTGTGGTGTTCAGTAGTGTTGAAGCAGCAGTTTCCAAATTACCTCTCGGTCGACGCTGTCAAAGACCTTCTCAAAGTTGATGAAGTTGGGGTAGATGGTTGACTGCCATTCTATACTCTGTTCTATGATGATGCAAAGCGTTGCAATCTGATCCTCACATGATTTGTACTTCCTGAATCCAGCCAGCTAGCCAGCCAGCCTGTTCCGGTAGTAGTTTTGAATCCAGTGCATCCTTTAGTCTCTCCACGATGATGCGGCTTAATACTTTGCTTGAGGTGGACAGCAGCATGATTCCGCGTCAGTTCTTGCAAAGACTTAGGTCGCCCTTATTCGCGAATTCGACAAGGTAGCCCTTCTTCCAATCGCCAGGTACATTCCCTTCCTTCCTTGCAAATTCTCTGCAGTAGTGATGTGAGCATGTCCACTGTTGTCTCTGCGTCTGCTCTCTGTGCTTCTGGTGGGATTCCACATAGTCCTGCTGCTTTCGCGCATTTCAGTAGCCTTATAGCATTCAGGACTTCGACTTTTGTTGGAGGATTTGTGTTCACTTGTAGTTCTGTTGCTGGGCTGCAGGTGGTATTTCTGGACGAAGTGCAGGTGGTGATGGTAGTGGTGGTCGATCCAAGAGCTTTTCGAAGTGGTCAGCCCATCATTTCCTTTGTTCCTCTTCTTTGGTAACTAGCTTTCCTTCATCACCTTTTACTGGTTTCATCTGTGTTGATCTCTTCCCAGGCAGTAAGTAACCTGGTTATTTGATACAATGTTGTCAGGTGTCTATCTCTCCTACCGACAGCCTGTTGTACTTCACTTGCCAGTATGTCATGGAAGTGTCTTTTGTCTTTCCGTGCACCCTTCTTCACTTCTTTGTCCAGTGTTTTATATATTGTTCTCAGTTCGTCTCTTCGTTGTACATCCTTGCACTGCACTGGTTTATCTTCTGCTTCACCATCCTTCTGTCCTCTTTCAGCTTCCATGTGTCCGTCGAGATCCATTCTTTATCTTCTTTCTTCTTCCTTTCTAATACTGTTATGCAGGTTTCTTTCCGCATAGCTTTCAAATAGTTCCAGTGTTCTTCCACACAGGTCTCTTCAGGGATGTTGCTCTGGTCAATCACCAACTTCGTTCCAGGCTTTCAACTTGATTTTGAAGGTTTCTTGCACTAGACAGTGATTGGTCCGAACCTGCTCCCCTTCTCGATCTTGTGTCTAGTAGGCTGCGTCTCCACTTTCTTCAAATTGAGATGAAGTCAATCTGATTTGTAGTGTGTCTGGTGAAATCAGATCCATGTCGCTTTTTGAATATCCTTGTGCCTGAACACAGTGCCTTGCCTCCAATCCCAAATCATTGAACGCACAGAATTCTGCAAACAATTCTACATTCTCGTTCATTTCACCGAGCACTTCTCGACCAATGGTTAGTTATTTTCCTGTGTTGTCCGCTCTTGGTTGTATTATGTTCTCTGAGCTGGGTTGTTTAATCGTGAAGCTTTCATCGCCTTGCTAGACGACATCATCAACACTAACTTCAGTATGAAGTGAGCTGTCAGTATCTCTCCCTTAGTGATTTAGTAGCTTGTCTTGACAAAGTGGTCTGTGATTGGTTGTTTCCTCCGATTGTTGTGTCATTGATTGTATTGACTTTCCTGTTGGCTGTTCCTCTGCTTCACCTCTGACCTTTCTGTCGTTTATCATTTTTCTTATTGGTTGATAGATCGGGTCTATGTCTATACATCTATTGATTGCTGACTGACTGACCTGAATGCCAAGCTTCTAGGAATTCTCTGATATTCTTTGTGTTTCCTCTGTCCAAAATTTCTACATTGTCGAAATTGAATTCATGTCCATACTTGTTACCCACGTGCATTGAAACGAGTGACGAAATGTCGTGGTGTTTAATAGCCAATTGGTGCTCATGTAGACGAAGGCGAACAGGACGGCCGCTTGTCCAATGTAGTGCTGACTACAGTTATTGCAGTTGATTTTGTAAATGATATTCGGTTTGTCTTCTTTGCCTGTTGCATTCTTTGGTCTGCATAATGCGGTTTGGAGGGAATTTGTTGGTTTATGAGTGGCTACATCAATTCCAAGTGGTCTCAGCAATCTTGTTGTGATTTCTGATATATTCTTTATATATGGTAGGACGATGCGTTTGTTGATTTCTGTCGATGACTTTGTAGTTGGTGATGCATGGGATAGGCATCTTTTGATAAAGTTTCGTGGGTAGCCGTTCTTCTTGAGGGTGGACATCAGGTAACTTTCTTCGTTTCTCCGTGAACTTGTTGTGCTGAAGTGTGTTCTCGCTCTTTTGAATAGAGTCTGCAAGCAACTGATTTTGTGTGTTGTTGGGTTGCTGCTATTGTAGTTGAGGATTTGATCAGTGTATGTTGGCTTCCTGTACACTTGGGTTTCCAGCTTTCCGGCGTTTGTCCTGCTGACTAAAACATCCAGGAATGGTACTTGGTTGTTTGACTCTTTCTCCATAGTGAATTTGATGTCATTGAAAACGTTGTTGATCAAACTGTGAGTGTTTTCTATATCATCATTTTTAATGATGACAAAAGTGTCGTCCATATAACGAATCCAAATTTTTGGTTTGATCACAGGTAGAATAATGGCTTCCAGTCTCTGCATCACTGCTTTTGCTATTAATCCGGATATCG